GCATTGGCTGTGGAACAGCCTGAGGATCCGGCCCGTTACAGGCCAGCCGAGGAGGTGCGTGATAAGCAGTTCATGTCGATCTGGCGCACCAAAGAATGGCAGAACTTTGAGGAGACCTACCAAGTCAAGAGGCTTCACTTCGACCAAGGCCCAATGGGTCACACAAAAAGGAAGCCAACAACATTGGCAGTGGTGCTCCGGGACATCAACATCCTGGACGGAATTCGTGGCCCTCCAAGCGGCACCAATCCAGAAGAACCAGCTCAAGATCGTGGCCAGATGACCATGAAGGAGAAGTGTGATGACTCCAAAACGTGGGCGGCATGGGCTCCAGGCCTCAAAGTTGCTTTGGTTTTGGCATTGCAAGACTGGTTGAACCGTGGCACTACGCCCTCGTTGGAAGCTGCACTTCGGCCTTTGACTCCGGCGGTTCTTGATAGCTGGAAGCAGCACTACCAGAACGACCACATGCCGGCCAGGCGAGATTGCAAGCATTGTGTTCGATCAGCTGCCCGAAGCAAGCCCCACAAGCGCATCGTGCATCCTGAGGCCTACACCCTCAGCGTGGACTTGTCTGGCAAGATGGTGCCTGGCTTTGATCAAAGCCGTCAATCCTGCAAGTACATGATGATTGCTGTGTACACGCTCCCCGTGGACCGTGCTGGACGCCCCTTGGCTGAGATGGAAGGTGGCTTTCCTTTCGGTTGAAGAAGCTCCGAATGAGGGGGAGGACGCGGCGGTGCGAGCCTGTCAGGCCTCGTTTGACTCCTGGCATCAGTTGGTGGAGGACTCCAAGGACGTGGCCGTGCGAAATTTGACCTTTGTGGAGGTGCTCAATGGCCGCGCTGTGAACAACATCCTTCAAGCCTTGGCTCGCATCTACGCGAGGCTCCGAAGCCTAGGCCTTCCCATTTACAGGCTTCACAGTGACAGGGCCCGGGAACTGATCTCTGCTCCGGTACGCCGCTGGACGCTGGACCGGGGCATTGTGACAACCCTCACAACAGGGGGATCTTTCAAGACGAATGGCAGGGTGGAGGGAGAGTTGGGTGTGGTCAAGAAGCACATCCGCACGGTGGTTGCGGCCACGGAAGTGGGCTTGGACAAATGGCCACTAGCCGCCATCCACATTGGCGAACGCAGACTTCGTGGTCAGTTGCGAAGTCTGGGCTTTCCTTCTGGCCCGTTGCTGAAGTTTGGGGCAAAAGCCTTTGCTCTGAAGAAGTCATGGCAGGAGCGCTACCAGCCGTGGCGTGAAGTTCGTGATGAGGTGGTCATTTTGGGTCCTGCAGTTCAATCCTCATTGACTACTACCAGCTACTATGTCCAGTCGGTGACCTCGCATCGCTACTTCTACACCGATGATGTGGTGATCCCTTCGGCCAATCAACCTGAGGCCAATGATGCGATCGCGCACCTTCCGGAGATTGGTGATGCCGCTCCTCGGCCGATGTGGCATGGCGCAATTCCACGACGCCGGTTGAGAGAAAAGACGGCAATACCACAAGTTTCCATGATCCACATGGAGGGGGAGACTGGTGGTGGGGTCAATTCAAGTTGGTGGCACCGCTGGCTATGTGACCATCGTGAATTTGCAAGTTGGTGGCAGCGGTGGCTTTGTGACCATCGAGACAGCTTTGAGATCATGATGCCAAATGATGTTCGCCTCTTCAGTTTGGAGGTCAGCAGTGACAGCTGGACGATCGAAACGCCTGAGAGGACAAGCTCTTCAAGTTCAGGTGAGGATGGCATCCAAGGGGTTCAGACCAGTTCAGGTTTTCCGGTGGTGGATCTTCTCGGCGGAGGGGATGCGGAGGGGGTGCCTAACAACCGGTGCGGTGGCTCAAGCCCGGTGACCCCGCAGAAAGGAACCCTTGGAGAACATCCTCACCACAAGATCAAGCTGTTAAAAGCATTGCAGGCAAACTTGGCTGCCTATGTGTCCGAAGAAATGGGACATTTGGACGTCACCATCCCGGAGCAAGGCTGCTATTTGGAAGTCCTGTCAGAGGCCATCATGTACAAGGTGGAGGTGGAAGAAATGCTCCTGCAGAATGATCGTGACGTGGATGAACTTGCGACCAAAGAGCTGGAGGAGGAGTTATTGGTCACGAGGACTGTCAGCAGCAAGGAGGTTTGGGATGACTTTGAGAATTGGGTCCCATCCATCACGGCCGAGTACAACCAGCTGGTCAAAACAAAGGAAGCTGTGGAGCAAATCACAAAGCGAGAGCTCCACCAACGGGCAGAAGCACAAGGAAAAATCATAGAGCTTCTTCCGGCCAAGATGGTGTACACCCGCAAAGCAGGAGCTGGAGTACGTCGGGCAAGAGCTGTATGTTGTGGCAATTACTCCGAATCCAGGTTCAGTGGAGATTGCTACGCTGGAGGAGCTGATGGCTGCCAAGTGAGAGCTCTGGTCCGCACCTCGGCTTTGAAGGGGTGGACGCTGGCAGCAACTGACATCAGAGTCGCTTTCTTGAACGCTCCAAGAAGGGAGGATGGAAAGATGGTGGCAATGGAGATCCCCAGTGTCTACAAGCGCCTTGGCCTCGCCCGAGAAGGTGAAGTGTGGCTGGTCAAATTAGCCATGTACGGCCTCACAACGTCTCCAAGAGACTGGTCGCAGTACAGAGACCGCACTCTTCCAATGGTCAGTTGGGTGCGGGAAAGAGAAGGGCGAAATGTCAGGGGCTACTTCGTCAAAACAGCTGATGAGAATTTGTGGCGGTTGGAGGAGGCTGACACGGAGACTGGTGAGAATCATTGGACAGGTTTGATGTCTGTCTATGTTGATGACATCCTCATCAGCGGCGAAGACAGTGCAGTCTCAGCAGCCCTGACATCTTTGCAGGCCACTTGGACTACATCCAGCGTAGAAAAGGCAACACCTACCTCTCCTGTCCACTTCTGCGGCTTTGAGATCTCTGCCGATGAGCATGGTGATGGTTTTCATTTGTCACAGCAGAAGTACGAGCAGGAGATCCTCACACGCTGGAATGTCAAGGAAGCCTCAACCTTCCCGAACTTCAAGGTCAGTGAGACCGACATGGAACCGCCAGATTCAGTGGACAAGGTGCAGATTCGCGAAGCACAAGCTCTTGCAGGGTCCCTTTTGTGGCTTTCAACCAGGTCACGGCCAGATTTGGCCTATGGTGTGGCGGCCCTCAGTCGGTTGGTGACTCGAAATCGGCCAGTCCTTGCTCGCCTATGTGAAGGGAACTCCTGGTGATTTGCACTATCCCCAGAAGATCAAGAAGAAATGGGGGTCAAGGGATCAGCTCAAGATCCAACGGCATGAAGGCCTACTGGAGGTGTTCGCACGGCACTGGCTCCAATCACCGAAGCGTGCAAGGGCTAGTGATTTGTTTCGCTGGAGCTCCTGTGGCATGGCAAAGTGCCACCCAACCGTTTGTGACCCACAGCACAGCTGAAGCAGAGTTGGTTTCCTACTGTGAAGCTCTATGCACAGGTCGTGCAACGGAAGCTTTGCTGTGTGCCATGTGGGGGGAGCCGCTGGACAATTCGAATGTCTTCGAGCGGGTCATCTATGGTGACAATGCCGCAGCCATCAGCCTCGCCTATGGCAATAGTGCTACATCCTGGAGGACCCGGCATTTGCGTGTGAGGTCTAACATCCTGAAGGAGGCACTTGATGAGCAGGGCTCGTATCCAGGTGGCTGTTGGAAGCTGGCCCATCTTCGTGGCACTGAGCTTGTGGCCGACGGCATGACGAAGCCGCTCCTTGGCCAGAGTTTCGCAGGTTTTTTTGGTGATTTGGGGTTGAAGCCTCCTGAAGTGAAAGTGGCCAGCCTGAAGCTTGGTCAAAACGCTCCTCCTGTACCAGACCACCAGTTGGCTGTGAGAGCAATCGTGGCTGGAAGCGCCCTGGTTCGTGCAGCTGAAGCTGGAGGAAGTCAGGACTCCGATGCAGTTTTTGGAAGTTTGATGTTGTGTGGCATAGTGCTAGTGCTCATTGGGGCAATCTGGGTGGCGAAGGCGGCCGTAAGTTCTTTTGGTTGTTGCCTACGCCGATTGCATGGAGTCACTTGCGAGCCACCCAGTTCATCGGACCTGCCTGAAGCTGATGAAGGGGCCCCTACTACTTCCTTGCGATCCAGGCGGGCACGTTCGTGGGGGAGGGCAGACCAGGACACGGGGGTTGAAGCCACCGAGACGGAGGAGGAGACGGAGGAGGAAGCTCAAGCCATTCGAAGAAGGCGAGCTGCAAGGCCAAACGTTGGCGATGATCGTGATGATCGAGAAGGAAGAACTCCTATGACGCGGAGAAGGTCTACGTCCAAGTCATCTAGGCGGCGATCGGGCTCGCACCACGGCACTTCATCGCGGACGATGAGAAGGAGATCGAATGAAAGCGACTCAGCTGAGTTGCAAGCAGCCAGCGAGGCTGCTGATGATGCCGTGCAAGCTGCAAGCCAGGCAGCGGAAGGTGCTGAGCGAGCCGCGGTGAGTGCACAGCAAGCTGCTGCCGCGGCCAGTCAAGCTGCGCTGAATGCTGAAGCGGCCACTTCCATGCTTCAGTGTGCGTTGATGGCCAAATCAAAGGCCTCACCAACGGTCCGGCCGATCCAGAGGATCAATGAGGAGCCGACCAATCCATGGAACAGGTTCCAGCGGCAAAACGCCAACAAAGGCTGGAGCACTGAAAAGATGCGTGCCGAGTACTACCGTGCCAAGAGCATGAACAGAATGCCTTGAGCCTGAATTTTCCACTTCTCGCGAGATGCGAGAGGGGGAGTCCGTTCGGTGAGAACATCGGACATGTCACGACTTCAGGCATTTGTGTTCGAAGAAAGGGCGCGTTGTCTTTGTTCACGAGACTGTAAATGATATTAAGCCCCCTCATTAGCCCCCCAACCAGATCCTTCTTCCTAGCCCGAGGGACCGCGCTCTGTACAGACCAACCCCGGAGGACGGCGCGTTCCTCCCGGCGTGGCGCGTCACGGTGTCTCCCTTGGAGGACTCGGCCGCGGCAGATATCACCTGGCACCCAAAATGCGTGGCTCAGGGTGAGAGGTGGAACCAGGGTGATTGTAGAAACACTTCGGTTCGAACATCTTCGAACGATCCCCACCCTGAGAGGCGATTTGGAAGAAGGCTGGGCACATGTAGTGAAAGATCTTGACAAACGCTGCCTGACATGTGCATAGGCAGGCACATTGTTCTGGGATGTTCTGGGATCTACTGGGAACTGTTCTGGGATGTGTTCTGACGTCGTGTGTTGTAACAGGTGTCCTGCCGTGAAGTCTGACATGAGTTCTGCCATATCTTCTGGCATGTGACATGTGCTTCTGACATGTACTCTCGCATCAACTTGGCATGTGTTCTGAAGTTTGCTTTGACATATGGTCCGGCTTAGGTTCTGATATGTGTCCTTTTTCCTGACCGTTCATTCTGTCATGTAGCAATGTAGTCAAGTCTGACATTTGTCCGGTCAAAGCTCTGCTCTGCCATTTGTTCCGAAATATGTTCTGAATTGTTCTGACATATGATCCAACACGTGTTGTATTATGTGTTCTGCATAGCATGTGTTTTGCCACGTATTCTGACATTTGTTTTGGCATGTTTTGGCCCTATTGGCCTCACGTCTGACAAGTGATCAGGCATTGTTATGATATGTGTTCTGGCATGTGATCTTCCATGTTCTTGAGATGTGTTCTGGCATTTGTCTGGCAAGTGTTCCGACGTGTTCCTTTTTTCTGGTATGTCCTATTAGCACGCGTGGTTGAATATTCTGACATGTGTTCAAACATCTGTTCTGACAAGTGTTCCGGCATGTGTTCTGCAATGTGTATAATGGCACGTATTCTGAGGTTTGTCCTGACATTTGTCTGACAAGCGTTCCGACATTTGTGCTGCTATGTGTGTTTGGCATGCGTTCAAACATTCTTATTTTTTTCTGACATGTGTTTGGGTCCGTGTGTGCCAAGACCATGCTGCAGCTCCGTGGAGGAGGAGGAGGAGGAGGAGGAGGATGGACGTGCCACTTTCATACAATCTAGAGACCCTCACCTGGCTGGTGGGGAAACCACCACCAGTAGATGTGCACCATGGACTGCCATGGAACCCTTGAACACTTGGCCGAAAGGCCTCTTTTCCTCTACACTTCATGGTTACATTACATGGAGTTCACCACCTGCATGGGTATTCGGATGTCATCAAGTCATCTGAACTTGGGGGGCGAACTGCCATCCGCTTCCATGTGAGTGTTTAACAGGGAGTGTTGAACAAAAACCATGTCGGCCAGTTGAAACCATGATGCTGAACCTGACCCCCTGGCCTCTAGGCCCTGAGACTCAGAACCACCAACCCGATATGAAAACCCCACTGAAAAAAACCCTGAAAAACTCGAGGCTGGGTCGTACAGGAACCAAAACGACTTCGACCAACCAAGTATGAGTACACCAAGGGCCTACAGGAATCAGCCTCAAGTCCGGTGTGTTCGAGAAGCTCTCCAATGAGTTTCGGTCCCCCAATGGTCATAGGTCATAGGGTATCGGTATAGTGCAATCAATTTTCACTCCGTGGAAGGTCTAATCCTAGAGCTGCTGGTGTCCCCATTCACTTCACTTCTTTCCACTGGTCCGACCACAAAAGGGGCACATATCCTGACTGGTGCGTCTCGCAGGGAATGAGGGTGGCTGGATCCAATAGAATCTCTATTGGGGGCTCATTCCCTTATTCCCTACTAAGCACCAGTCAGTATCACATGAGACATCTTAAGTCGTCTATCGGCAGGGACGTCGCTTCAAAAGACCTTTGGGTTCATCCTCCGCCGGTGGATACTTGTTGAAGTGGCTGAAGCCCGGGGGTGGTGGTCCAGAGTAGTCAGAGAGACTGTGGGATGGACGTCCATGGCAAAGAAAAACGAAAACAAGTGAAACATGTTTAAACCTTTAAACTACCTTGGATTTGCTGTCCACGAGCCGAGACAAATATCACATATTCCCCTAGCAGGAGGTTTACCTCCATACAGGAAAACACATACACAAAAACATGCACCTGATCCGCAAAACCCACCTGAACTCGACACACCTCCATATGGACCTACTGTCACCTGCTAGCTGACACCTGCTAGCTCCACCTGCTTGCTCCACCTGCTTGCTGACACCTGCTAGCTCCACCTGCTCTCTGCTCCAAGGCACATCTCAAGGTGCGACCCGGAGCCCGAGGAATCAGACTCGGAGACCTCTGAGTCGCTGGCCTCGAAGCCATCCAAGTCGCGCGCCACATCACGGCGAGCGACCCGCCGCGGCGGAGAGCGGAAGGTTCGTCGCGTGCGGTCTCTCCGGGTGAACTGTTCGGTGCCCATGGTCTTCGGATGCCCCCATAGATGAGGTCACGATGTTGGTCCAGCCACAAGACGATTGAACCAACATACCCGCGTTTGCGGGCGGGTTAGGCCCGTCTCCTTGGCACAGAACCCTGCACAATCGCCCAGCCCAAGCGTCTTCTTCGAAACGGAGGTCCTTGGGTCTCACACACCCAAAAGTACTGCGAGATTCAATTCATTCAACATATATATTAGTCGAGCTAGATTTTAGTTCAGGCCTAGAAGTCCGGGAAGAGGTGGAAGTTGGAGGTGACGCTCACAGCAACAACTAGCAAGAGTGGTCTCACTAATTTCTAACTGGACAGCTCCCTCCCTTTTGAAGGAGGAGGGTAAAAAGAACGGGATCATCAACATCAAAGTCTACTGCAGAACCTGCACCAATATCGTATGTTGCAGGTTAGGATGAATAGAGATTGAAGCTTGGAAGATCTTGGAAGTGACCCAGTGCTTTCCTCTCACCATCTGCGATCTACACCATCTGCCCATGTGCCCCTCTTTCCTCTGCCAGATCCAGGATGTAGCTCTCGTAGTCGACCCCACGGGCCTAGCGACGAGGTGCTACACGCGACTTGCTCCGTAGTTCGGAGCACCGGGATTCCCTGAAAGAATCAGGCTGGTTGCCTGAACAGTGGCAGCCTCTTCCAGCGCCGGTCCGTGGTTTTTCCGAATCCTCTCATCTCTGGTTGCACCATCTGGTCCTAGGCTCTCTTGTCTCTTGACCATCGCAAACCAAATAACTTCCTTGGATGGCTAGATGAACCGATCCTCCTTGGACCAATGGCAGTAGATGCCCGTTCTTCAATTTCTTGTTGAACAGCACAGTCTACTCCACCTCCTCCAGCGGTGGAAAACATCACCTGGTTCACCAAGGCGGAGTTGGTTTTTCCTCTGGAGCACACTCGTTGGACTCTTTGGCTTGGAGTCTTAGACTCCCAAAAACTCACATCCGGAGAATGGCCCCCTGGGAGGTGGTTTTCCTCTACCAACCAGTGGTTTTCAGGTTCCATGTTAATCTTCCAGGGAGGAGTTACAAATAAGGAGCCATAATTAATCAGCGGTCATATTAGGTCATTAAGCATTGTAATTACGTTCACCAAACAGTGTTTCCTTCTTGTTTGGCTCATCATTAGTAGACTCCTGGTCATTATAAGCAATTAGAACTTCTCCAAATCATGTTCCTCCGGCAGCAAATGTTGAGTGTGCATGACCAACAGCCCACAACCCCCGTTCTAAGCCCCGTTCTCGGGGCTTGCACTGCACCAGCCACGGAACCGTTCACAGTTTCACCACTCATCGATTTTTGATGAATATCCCTGGATAGAATCATGTCAATCTACAATTGTTGCCGTTCACAGGACAGAAACTCGAGTTTAGACTACCAAACCAGGTGCAATATAGTATATGTTGGGAGGCCAATCGTCTCAAGCCTTGCGTCAAGACGAAAACGTTGCGCATCAGCGCATTTCGAACGCCGACTCTCTTGCTACTGAACGACCAGGCGCCTGGGTGTTGGCGCCTAGAAGAATCAGCTCATGGATCAGCTCCTCGTGGTGGAGAGCAATAGTTGAAGGAAGGTTGCTGGAAAGGAACAAGGAAATCAATGGAAATCACCTTCTGTTGATTCTTTTTGGAGGCCGCCCATGTAAAAGGACTAGCTGAAACTTTCAAAACAATTCAGCAAGTCTCCACAGGAAAGGCTGCAGTTCTTTGGTGGGCCCTAGAAACATGCCACGCGGATATTCAACGTCTCATGGCTTTCGGACCTGCCTGGCAAAACATCCTAAACGCCTGCCTTTGAGAATCCTTTGTAGATCAATGGTTCCCAGATCAAGAGTCTTGATGCTGAAAGGCGTTTCGCCCAGAAAGAGAAGACATGAGAAGACACTCAGTGACTGGTGGGTTGGCTTAGCAATGTTGCTTTAGCCCGTTTCCGGGAGTGAAATCATCAACTTGGTCCAAATTGCCAAGATCCTTTTAAGCCTTCCTGCCTGCCTGCACACCCTGTTTGTTCCTGATCCTTGCTAGTGCTGCGTGCTAGTAAGAAGAATATCCTATATCTGAGAGCACACATAGGGAGCTCCCTGGAACAGTTGGATTCCCGAGAGGGCCCGTGTTGGGCGCACGTAGGTACGCCCAATCTGCAGTCGCCCCCTTCGGTGTTGCTACCGAGAGTTTGGGCGCGTCCCAAAGCGCCACTCACTGCAAGGCGGAAGAAACCTCAGCTGAACTGGGAGAAATTCATGACAACATCTGAGTTCAGCTTGCCCAGTTCAGCCACCTAATATCAGAACCTAAGCTCGCCCAGGTTAGGGGATTTCACTCATAAGGAACATAGACCTCACTCTAAATTTCATCCGCCAGCTTAGCGCGCCAGCTTGGCCACCAGCTGGATTCGTTCATCCTCTCCTGTCGGGGTGCCCTGGACATGGAAGCCGAACGGCTGGTAGTGTGGGGTGCCAGGACACCCCAACAGGATGGTCCTGGAAGAACCAAACATCGCATGGGGTCGACCTTGACTCCACAAAGCTTGCCCTAAATCCCATGTGCACATTTTTTGGGGGCACTAATATGGAACATACACCCATGCACACATGACATGTGCACATCGCCTGGTCACCAAACAGGAACAAGTCCACCACCGTTTGACTGCGAGGGTCCCATCTGGAGAATCTAGCCTCATCCAGGCTCCCTCCATGAGGTTTGGATGGAACTGGGTTGGTGTTGAAGGATCTAAACATATTCTAAACACCTGAAGGGCTTTGGGTCGCCGACCTCAGCATCGCCTTCCTGAATCGGTCAAAGCAAACCATGGTGGTGGTGAACTCCCCCGATGAGATCTATGTCCTGAGACCTTCGCAGCACTTCCGCGCTCCACGCCGCGCCCGTTGAAACACGCCGCACGCACCAACACGCCGCCGTGGCGCTTGCGCAGCGGTGGCGAAGGCAACGCCCGGCAGCTCGCGCAGCCGCTGGAGCGTCTCCGTGAGGGCCAAGACACGCGCAGGGGTGCCGGCCACGAAGGTGTGCATGCCTCGTATCGAAAAAGTGGCGGGACCGAGGGCTTTGTCGGACGACTCGATCGATGAGACACCGGGCCCTGAAAAGGCCCAGTGTAAGGGGGCTTCCAAGCCAAGAATCAGCTGCTTGAATTGAAGAAAGGCTTGTGAGTTAGACTCTGGACCACATTATAGATTTGGTACACACTTTTACAGAACTATATTATACAGACCTACCATCGAATTCCTTTAGTTTCGATCCTTGCCAAGAGGCCCAAGCAAACCACCTTCTCGCCCTCCTCCTTGGCCAACTGGCGGACATGATCTTCGATGGTCTGGACGTACTGACGCGCATCCAGCTGCTTCGCCAAAACGCAGGAGAAGTCATTGGTCTCCTCGGCCCAGACCGCCGCGCACCGATCGGCACTGTGTCCCCGGCGCGAGAGGCGCCGGTGCGAGGAGCGCCCAGACCGAGCGCCCCGTGCCCGTGCGACGCCTCTTGAGTTTGGCTCTGAAGGTTTCAGGTGTTAAGGATGGTGCAGATTCCTTGGGGCCTCAAGTTCTCGAGCGTCTCCGACTCAGGTAGCAACATGGTGGAGTTCATTGGTGGACCCGGATGGAGATGGTAGCGTAGCAACAGAGTAAAACACCAGCTGAGCCGTGTTGCGAAAAACGGAGAGCCACAAAGGCCTCACAGTTGGTTCGTTCCTTCCCAGGCTACGCCAGCGATGGTTTTTAGCGTTTCTTTTAGCCGACGAAAGCTGCTTGGTCAGCATGACCCAAGAGAGAACGGAATCGTTGCTTTGTCAACCGTTGGCGCGTCTTAGATATGTTGAATACAGCTGTTCTGCTGTTAGGTCACATCATCCATCTCGTGTTGCGAAGTAGTTGGCAGTTCTCCTCCACCTCCAATCCAAGTTCAAGCACACACAAAGACCTCCTTCGTGACTACCTTCAGTCCCAGAAGACGAAGACAGATTCCAAACACACTCTTAGCTGAACACCATCAGTTCTGTAAGCCTCATAAACTATGCCAACTATGAAATCTGCCACCCTGAAAGCTTCTTCTTTGGGTGCTATCTGCCCACCCACCGGTCGCCCACCGGTCTTTTACCCATTTTATCCTCTTGGGTCTTTCACTGGTCACCGGACCGCCTCTGACCACGACTGACTACAACGACGCCAAGGATCCATGCAATAGGGCAAGCACAAGGTCCTGCCCGCTTCTTCGTGTTTCAGGTAGAACGGCACGTCGTCATCCACGAAATCCAGCAGCGCCTGGATGCCAGCCTGGTGCGCTGGAAACAAGTGGACGTTTAACAAAGTGTTGGAGCAATTCTTGGAGCAGCAATGCCAAGATCTGCTCATTGGGATGATCCGTTTCTTGCCCGGATAAAGTCATCTTGATATTGAAATGAACAATAAATGAACCCATGTTTGTCTCCAGGGGCTGCTAGAGTCCCCCCTAACTCCAACGTCCCCCCTAGATCTGCGCACCTACCCACGACCCACACCTTCGCTGCGATCTCAGGCGTGCGCTCGGTCACACTGAAGCCGGGAGTGAGCCAGGTCTGAGGCCGCGAGCCTCGGAGAAGCGTTCACCGTGCAAATCGCCTCGCTGGGGCGTTCGAGGCGAGTGGTGAGGCTCGGACCGCCGAGCTCAAGTGCTCGGGGTGTCGACACCAGACACTCCACACACTCCATGGGACTGGCATAGGACTGCCGATCCATTGACTTCAACCATCCCTGGCCTGATCGGCATATTATGGTATACATGGAGTGTTTGGGAATCATAAAATAATCAAATGACCCATCCCGTTTCCACTCCATGTCTGTCGGACTGCCGATCAATTGACCCCTCGTTTCCATACATCAATTCCTCTGACATAACCCATGAAGGTCGGTGTGCCCTTTGTTTTCGCTTTTGCTTTGGATCTCCATCACCTCCATCCGCCGTCCAAAGGGCCCAAGGTCTCTTGAAGATCATCAAGCGTCTGCCTCGGTCGAAATCACAACACCAACCACACCTTCAAGGAATACCAACCTCATCCTCGCCCAAATACGCAAACAGTGCGAAAACACTGGGTGATAGGATCCATGGGTGAGAAGGCAAAGAGCACCACCAAAGGGGTGCGAAATTGGCCCACATGCAAAACACATGCCCACATGCGGTGAGAAGGCCAAGAGCACAACAACGTCAGCTCGCATGCCTGGTTGAGTGAAGGTTTGGGGTGCTCCAAAGGTGTGCTTTTCTTAGCTATGCAGGGTCAAACATCTCCAGAGGTTCCAATGATGCTTATATAAGGGTTATAGGGCTTCTGCAGGGCTGAAAGCAATCACACAATACCTGAGCTGTATGATATCAAACAAATCCAAGGCTTGATCAAGGTGGTTTTGGGCACATGGAGCCAAGCCCTAGGGTTGTCCCTTGCATTCTTTCGTGACCTGCTGAGGTATCTGTCCCAGTATGTCTCAGTGATTTTAGATTGATCCGACCAAAGCAATTATTCCACAGGATGCTCCAATTTTTTCTGGGTCTTTGGGCTGAGATCGTTGAGCGGGAAAGGCCCTTAGATAATCCATGAGTCATGGTGAGTTCTCCGAGATCACCCTGTCCTCACCCACAGAACTAACGACTCACCATCCCTGATCAGCAAGCGACCATGTTGAAGCCCTTTCCCAAAAGCATGGAAGGTTGATGCGTTAAATTGATGTATACAATGATGTATATAATGGATGCACCCTTTCTACACGGTTGTGGGATTTGCACCAAGCCATCTTGCTCCTTGTGCTGGATTCTTTGCTGTCCAAGAACCGGAAAAAGAAGAACTGCTCGCAGGTTAGGGGACTGGTTCACCCATTGGGAAACAATATTGTCCCACGCAAACCAGGTCTGGCATGCAAACTTTACTGTTGGCTGCTGGAGGAGATCTTTTGGATATTGGATAGTATAATTACTCAAACAAGTTCAACAAACGTCCCGCCCCTGACGTCTTTCTTTTTGCCAAAGCACTTGAAGTATGCCTCTTCTTCCTGGCGGCTCATGTGGGAAGCACCTGGCAGAAGAGGTGCAGGCCGGCAGGCCTCTCTGCCTTTGAACATCAAGATGCAAGCTGCAATGAAGCTGCAAGAAAGGTACTGGTTGGATGTTCGGGAACCCGCATGGCTATGGTCCCGTAGCCGTACCACACCATCTATGGCGGTAATTACCATGGTCTCATGATGGAATGGCCGAATTACAACACGACCATCTTCCAGATCAATCTGATTGCCTTCCAACTTCCCATTTGGGCTCCAAGTACCTTCTAAGAATATGTTTGGGGTGGGTTTAGATCGTCCAAATACCATCTGAGAAGGTACTTGGAGCCCAAGGGCTTATCTTATTATATCTCATCATCGGCCATCTTTCGCACTCTAGAGGAGAAGCTGACATTTATCGCAAGAATCCCGTTGAGATGACCTCTCTGCTCTGCAAGCAACCCTGCAGCACCTTCTGTGCAAAGTTAAAATTGCCAAAGCCCAGTTGAACGTGGCAAGCGACCCTCTAC